CATTTTCATTAACTACATGGTTAATTTGAGAAAGCGTCGCTGCGCTGTAGTTGTCGAGAAGGCTAATAGCTCCTGCGTGAAATGTAGATCTATCAGGATCTGGATACAGGAATCCGCTATGACATGGACTCCACGAAACGCCTGGCAGATTGAAGTCACCAAAAATGAATATCTCGTCAACTGGAGTGGAACTTTCGACAACTGTGAAAACTGACCGACAGTGAGTATCGATGAGTTCATTGTCGCGGACTCGATCAGGTGGAATGTACAGAGCGCATAGAAATAGTGTGCGATCACCCAGATTGATGGCTGTCCAAACCTGCTCCACATTGTTCCATGAATCGTTCTCGATGGCCTTTGCCTCCAACCCGCTACGGACAGATTGGGAGGGATGGCCAGAAGATCGTAGTTGCGAGAGACGTCGTGATCGAAGAGGTGGCCGAAATCGCACTTCAGGAGCAGAACACCAGAGCACGGACTGTCGTCAGCTAGCGAGACCACTCTGTGAGAGCCAGAAGTGGAATTGCAGCAACCGGATATCGAAGAAGAGGAAGATACACCGGAAGACTCGGACGTACCAGTATCTCGGCGTAGTTCACGTATCCGGAATGCACCAGTAAGGCTGAACGCTTTGAGCGCGTGTTACGATGTAGTTTGTTTACTTGGTATTGTGTCATTTGAAGTTGACCGAAATATGTACATACTAGTATAGAAGCAAGAAGAGCAACTGCACTAGCTCCACCAACGGGCAATTCAAATAACACCTCTCAACTGTCGAACCAAATAATCGATCATCGAAAAAAGGCCTCTTCGCAAAGCAGCGAGATAAAAGCGGTGCTTCCCGATCGCAGCGCAGCAGCGCGACGGAAAAAACACACACACGTACAAGATACCGGCGCTGCCGTCTCACAGCAAAGTTCATTGCACGTACAACCGCCATTGTGGCATCACGCGATTGAGCAGTTTCAGGAAGTTCCGACACGAGTTGCCGAAAAACAGTGCATTCCACACCCGGTAAAGCATTGGGCTTTCCATTCGATTTTGGCTGACGCCAACCACACGATTTGGTCGCAGCACGTACTGGTTCGATCGAGTGAAACAGCGGGAAAAGGTAATTTCATGATAAAAACAACGCGGACGAGACACTAATTAATTTTATTCGGGCTCAGGCAGCACGTTTCGGATCCGGTTTGGTCCGACCGTGAGGAACTACCGATCGCTACACGTTGTCGTCACAGCGTGGGAATCGCTCGGACACGGAAGTCAACCGAAGTGGAAGGAGAAAGAAGCGTCCCATACGAGGGTGAGTTGCACCGAATGTGAATCCTGAATCTCCGCTAAAACTAATGGATCGACTTCCAGGGCGCTTTTCTCTTTATTTCGATCTTCAAACTCTTCGAACAGCAATTCTACTACCACACGGAGCGATAGAGCGACGATTGTCTCCACGGTCGTAGGCGGAGGTGCGCGTCGACAGCTAGCTCCGAAGATCTCTGGAACGAGTTGGCGCGAACGTTCGGCAAGTCGCCGGTCTGACGACGAAGGGAAGCCGATAAGCCGGCACGTCAATGAGGCGCAAGGGTGCAGTGAGGCCATGAAGCAAGTCCCTTAGTGGCAACAACGACGGCGAGCAGGAGAAAATGTGAGTACGTTCCAACATACGTAGTGGGCGGAAGCTTTGCGACGCCGAAGAAAAAATAAGGAAAACCCATGTAGTTTAGTGAGCCCTAGTTAGGACCAGAAAGAGGAGTAAGAGCAGGAGAGAGAGATAGAAAAGGAGCAGTAGATAGAAAGGGGGAGTATGTGGGAAATGAGAATACACATTTGTTGATGGCATATATTCTCAAGTTTTGTTTTATTGGTTGGTGCACATTGCCCTAAGTGTTTTTGATTGGTCCGCCCTATGGTAGTTCTGCTCTACCGCTACCGGGGAACCGTAACACACGGAGGATTTTGTGGCGGAAGTTCCGGACAGTACCGAAGAGCTGCAAAAGTTGGATGACTGGCCGGAATGGGAGATTGCCATTGAAGAGGAGTTACTATCACTGGCGGAGAACAATACGTGGGAATTGGTAAACCTCCCTGAAGGTAGAAAGGTCGTCGATAACAAGTGGGTGTTCGGGTTGAAGCTCAATCCGGATGGGTCCATTCATAAGCGGAAGGCTCGACTGGTCGCAAGAGGCTTCACTCAGCGGTACGGCTTTGACTACTGTGAGACGTACTCGCCAGAGGTGAAAATGTCGACTGTCAGGATGATGCTAGCTTTCGCCAACCAACACGATTATGCTGTTCACCAAATGGACGTTACAGCCGCTTTCCTCAACGGTAGGTTGTCTGAAGACATATACGTGCGTCAGCCCAGAATATATGAAAAGGGGGAGAAGGTTTGCAAGCTTCGGAAATCTCTCTATGGGCTGAAGCAAGCCTCTTAATCATGGAATGATCGTTTCAACGTCTTCGCTGTAAGCGAAACGGACCGGTATACCTGTTGCTGTACGTGAGGATGTCCGGGAAATCGAAGCTGTCAAACGGATGCTGCAGCAAGAGTTTAAGATGCAAGATTTTGGGGAAGTGCAGATGTTCCTCGGTCTACGCATAGAACGTGACACGGTGGCCGGTACTATCAAGCTAGGTCAGCAGGGATACGTTGAAGCAGTGTTGAAGCGATTTGGGATGGAAGCGTGTAAACCGGCGTCTACTCCAATGGAAACTGGTCTGCAACTGCAGAAGGGAAGTGAAAGCAGCCATTTGGATAAGCCCTACAGAGAATTTATTGGTTGCTTAACGTACTTAATGACAACCTCACGTCCCGATCCGAGTGCTGCTATATCGTATTTTAGCCAGTTCCAGTGTAACCCTACCGAAGAACACTAGGTTCACACCAAGCGGATTCTACGTTATTTGAGCGGCACACCGTCACGTGGTTTCGTGTACAGGAGAAGTGAAATTATCGATCGGCAGATTCTACGATTCGCTGATACAAATTGGGCAACGGACGTGAACGATCGTCGTTCTGTGTCTGGGTACTGTTTCCGGATTTACGACGCTACAACTTCGTGGACTACCAGGAAGCAGCGAACGATTGCTCTGTCATCGACCGAGGCCGAATGCTCGGCACTTGCGGACTGTATTTGTGAAGCCATTTGGATATGCAAGCTGTTCGATGAGTTGAATATACGTGACCAGAAGCCTGTTGAAATCTACGAGGTTAGCAATCGGTTATTGCCATAGCCGAATCAGAGGCACCTTCGAAGAAGCTGAAGCACACAGCAGGGAAGTTGTATATTAGCTTTATATTGCAAAAAGGGCGATTAGCGGGCTTGTTGGTTACTTGGGTAAAGAGGGGTGTTGGGTATAATCTAGAATAATCTAACCCTTTTGTATTTTGTGTGTATGCCAAGCTAAACTGCCTGCCTTGTTATGTATACTCTTGAACATTGAATAAAAGCCATTCTGCAGTGTGACGTCAAATAAGCTGATCGAAGAATAAGATCATAAAACATTTGGAAAATTCAAGATATTAAAAATTCTTCTTAATTTAAGATTTTGAAATTTTTTACAAGTTCTAAAATCTTGAAATGTTGCTATAACTGGAATCTTTTTAATATTTCAAAACCCGTGATTTCGTTTTTGTTTAATCCAGGTTCTTGATTGACAAGCTTGATTACTCTGAGCCATGATTTTTTCCATATTTCAAGATCTAAATTAGGCTGTTTCCGAGATCCGATGAATTTCCAAATGATCCGCAACCTTGGTTTTTGTTTTAACACTGGATTGGGATCTAAAACTAAACAAAATTAAAAACAAATTAAAAAAAAAGTTGATAAGTACGAAACCTACAAATTTTTCTGGATTAGAATATTAAAAATATGTATATGTCCGTAATTTGTCGAAATTCAAATGACACAGAAACTAGTTTGTTAAGCCTTATATTTTAACAAAAAGCTAAGTCCGCAATCTTCAAAATTTTCCCAAGTACAGAACCTTGAAACTGAAATACGTGAACCTCGACAGTGAGACATGCATAAGGGCGTATACGCGATGATCGATTCTCTTCATCTATTTTCTCTTTGCATTGCTACAGCTAAACGAAACAATTTTCTAGAATTTGTTCAATGCAGTGTTGTAACAGGTTGCATTGGCTATCAAAAGCAACAGCAAACGCACCGAGAAATGGTAAATCTAGCGAGTTATAAAAAAAAGAAAATCGACAAAAAGTATCGTTTACGCCCTTATGCATTTGTAGCTCTTTAAACTACCCAGGGTTAATGTGTAGCTGTTGATGTGCTGAGAAAACACTAGGCGTAAAACTCCAGCAGAAAATTTGAAAGTGACATCAAAGTAACTGCAATAGCATTTCAAAACGTCGCTCTAGTTATATTGCTAATAATCATCTACCCACGGCACGCTATCTTATCAGCGCAGCGCAGTATGCTATTTCCTAGCATACCTTCGTCTCTATTCTATCGCTAGCAACTAAACCAAGCCTCCGTTCGCATCGCGTAAACAATGGGATTAATCTATCAGTCCACATCCCATACCACACCACCCAGTTTAACATTCAACCCATGTGACACGAGCTTGTAATCAAACTATATCAGCGAGTCAAAACAACAAGTCAAGTTCACGGCCATCGACTGGCGCCGGCCAGGCCAAGCCTCCCTTTGCTAAGCGTACCCATGTCGATGATTTCACTTTTCATTTTCAACCACCATCACGTGAGATCATCACGCTCTCAATCGGTGACGCTTTGCCCCGACACACTTTGCTGACGCAGGTGTTATGTGCGACATGGCAATGCGCAAACAGCTAGCGTCACACAACGGTCGGTGCCGGAAGCTTACCTAGCTAGCGTATTTAGCGACAGTGTACTAATATTACTAGCCACGCAGAATCATGGACAGATGAGTGATTTTTCGGGGCATTACGTATGTATGAATGGCAGCTCAAGGCTAAAAATAAATCAATCGTATTACGCACTTCCATTCCCTCCGACTTACCTCATATCGATTTCATTGAACGTGGTTAGCATGGCGTTGGTGTTCTGGGCTTCCTTCAGACGGGAAGCGATCTTCAGCCGCATGCGGGTCATCTTGACGCGCTGTTCGGTTCTGGTGCCGGTGATCTCCTTGCTGTAGTCGGCCGGAGGCAGCTTGACGGTGGCGGCGTCGATGGCTTGCGCGTGACGCATGGCAGCGACGGGCATTTTGCTGATGGGTCCCGACGGTGGTGGCGGAGGTGGTGGTGGAGCGGCCGCGGCTGCCGGTGGTGGAGGTGCAGCAGCTGCAGCCACTGGTGGCGGTGGTGGCGGTGGCGGAGCGGCAGCAGCAGCTGGCGCAGGTGCTTCGGCCTTCGGGGCTCCTGCCGCCGGAGCTTGACCGGTGATTTTCAGTTTGAACAGCTGCTGACCGGCCTTGACGGTGTCACCGTCGGCGACGTAGATTTCCTCGATGATACCGTGCCCCGGTGCGGGCACTCCCACCGTGGTCTTGTCGGTTTCGATTTCCATGACCACTTCGTCGGCAGCGACGGCATCGCCGACCTTCCTTTCGAACTTGACATCGCCCTCCGATACGGAATCGGCGAACGGAGGCACCTTGACGATCTCCGAGTTGAGCAGTCGGGCAGAGGTGAATATGCCACGTTCGGCCTGCAGCCATCGGGATGCACCGGTTGCGGCCGTCGAGCTGGAATGGATAGGGGGAGTGTGATTAAAAGGCATTATTTTAATAGTAAAATTGTATCCGTAAAGAGATGCTTCGTTGAAGATTCATGTCCAGAAGTGCTCATTTTTGCTTCGCAAATTTTCTTCTACGTTATTCTATTAGTTTGCTGAATCACAGTGGCACTATTAAATGACGTAGCATATTTTAAAGATTTTTTAGCTTTTACGATTTAATGTTAGTCCAAAACGAAAGATCCTTGTATGTGTTTCAATAATTAAAGTGGTCTGTAAAGACACAGAGAACAAACGTTGGGGCTCGAGCAAAAATTCGTGTTCGACTTAAGCGCCACCAACGCCGACTTCACCACTTAAAACCCGGAAAACACGATCAGTGCAGCCACCGATGGGGGGCTAGATTTGATCATACAAGTGGGCGTCCTTCAGAAAGGCGATCAGCGCAGCCAACGTCGAGGGGTCGTAACCAAGCAGATTACTGACGTTCTCCGGGAGTCCATAATGTTCGCGTAGCTTCTGGAACTCCGGGCAGATACACAGCACGTGTTCCACCGAGGCGGGGATGCTGCAAATTGAACAAAATCTACGGAAAGGTGTCCCACCGAAATTACAGGAAATCCTCGCATGGCCGGTCCGGAGTCTTGAGATGATCGGTTTCCTTGATCTTCCTCAGGAAAGTGGTCCGCGACTGGAACCATTTCTGCTGCCAGGCTTCCATAATAGTATTCACAATCCAACGCCTGACGTCTAGGAGGGGTACGTTCCTGGTGTAGCGGAGACGGGATGCACCAGATCCCGCGAGTCTGTCCGCAGCCTCGTTTCCCGGAACACCGCAGTGTCCGGAGATCTACGTAAAGACAGTTGAAAGTGGGGTGTACCGTGTAATGGCTTGTATCCAGTGTGAGTCCGTTAACACGAGGATCGGTTGATCTACCGGAATGATGACTGCGTCTACAATAGCTACGGCTTCAGCGGAAAAGATGGAACACTCCTCCGGTAGACTTTGACTCGTTGCATTGTTCGGTCCTGCCACTTCGAGTCCAACTCCAGCCCGCGACCGCGATCCGTCCGTAAAGCGATGAACGTGCCCTGGTTAAACCGATCCGAGAAGCTCTGCAACAGAACGTCTCAAAGCTGCAGAGTTATCTCCGGGTTGAAATCCGATTATCTATTTTGACGACGTTTGATCGCCAACTCTTTTCTCCATTCCAGTGGACCCTGGCCACCGGGGGGAGGTCACGGTTGGCTGCAGTGCGGAGGAGAAAGACCCTTTCGTTCCCGGATGTCTTAGCAGCGAGCGCAGCGGCTTTCGTAGCAATGGCTGTAGCAGATCGATAGCGGAAAGGGAGGAGTCCGATTTCCATACATGCGGCGTCTGCAGGCGTGGAAGGGAGAAGGCCGGATAAGATGCGTACGTAGGTATTGTATACCGGAGCGAGGATGTGGTTGAGCTTCTCGGTGGCTAAGCAGGTTATTTCGAGGCCGTAGAAAAGTCGACTGTCGATAACAGCCCGAGCGGCACGAAGGCGGATCTCCCGGTTGCTGGAGCGATGCGGGTGGGACAGTTTTCTGAAATGCTGGTTGAAGCTTAGGGTACGATCCAGTACTACCCCCAGAACACGCACTGTTTTCTTGAGCGGAATCGGATGATCTTGGATGGTGATCGGTGGTCCTCGAATCAGATGGCCCGAGTGAAAGATATGGCACCATACACTCTTCGGCGCGGAGAGCTGGAAACCAACCGAAAGCGCCCACCTGCTGACGGAGGAGACTGCTGCTTGAGCTATGTTCCTGGTGCGCTTAGACGTTCGTCCCGTTACGACGATGAGTATGTCGTCGGCATAAACGATTACGTGCAAGTTCTTGGGCAATCGGCTGAATACCCCGTTCATTGCCACCAGGAATAGCGTTACCGGTATGACGAATCCCTGGGGCACTCCAGTTTCCTCGGGGACAGTCACCTAGAAGGTACGATCAAAGAGGAAATTTCGTACAAAATATGTGATGTGACCTTGGTGTCCATGTCCTGTTGAACGCCTTTGAAATATCCAGGGAGACTAACTCCGCATGGTGACCGTTGTCCTGGGCTTCCTTAAGTACTTTCCCGAGGGCTGCAAAGTAAGTCGAGGAGCCGTGTCCTTGCCGGAACGCATGCTGCCGTTCGTCAAGGAGGCCGTTTGACTCCAGGAACTGCCTAAGACGACGATTTACCATTCTCTCCGTCACTTTTGCCGCGCAGCAAGTGAGCGCAATCGGGCCTAAAGGAGCAGGCTTCTTCACTCACCGTGTTGTTCTTCGGAATGGGCACGACCAAGCTTTGTTTCCAGAAGTCCGGATACGAGTCAGTGAGCCATAGATCGTTGAAGAGGGCGAGTAGCCTCGTTTTTCCGTCGAGGGAGAGGTTTTTTAACACCGGGTATTCAATCTCGTCCGGCCCGGCAGATTTACCACTACTGCTGCCGAGGAACATCGGGTGGAATTCGCAAGTGGCGAATGCTGCTTGTGGAAGGTTTGACGCGCTGGACGAAATCGCTGTCGTAGCCACTGACAGCAGACAGGCCTGCAAAATATTTTCCTAATTCGTCGGTGATGTCCTTCGGTTCTGAGATCGAGATGCCATGAGCTTGGATAGTAGGTGAAGTAGACCGCCACTTGCCGCTCAGAGTGTTGACGCGATTCCACAATTCACTCGACGATTGGGATCCGTCGATTGAATCCAGGAAATTCATCCAGCTAGATCGCTTTGCGTCACGGATCACCTGTCTGCACGAGAGATGGCGTTCTAGGTAAAACTTCAGCGCTTCCTCCTTACCAGGGTCGTCTAAGGCGAGACGCTTCAGCCGGCGTAAAGCTTTGCGTCACGCCTTCACCGCACATTTGGTATCCTCGTTCCACCAGCGCAGGGCTTTTCGCCCAGGTACGCTACCCATCCTTGGGATAGATACTGTTGCAGCTTCGTAGAGTACTTCCGTGAAGCTCGAGATGTCGTTCGGATCGCGTTGCTGAAGGAGAGCGTCGGATTTCTTCCTGAAGGCGTCCCAGTTGGCTTTCTCGTAGCGCCATCTGGGTCTCCGAGTCGTTGGAGGGGTCACGCCTACGGAAAGCTGTATGCGGATCGGGTAATGGTCACTACCATGCAGGTCGTTACTGATATTCCACTGATTCCACTGAAGAGAATCGATCAAAGTCACCATCAGACATCAGCATCATCTCAGAAGAGACATGGATCAGTATCGGACAGCCACCCACTCAACCGACGGAGGATTATGCAGTAACAGCTTCTGGTGGCAACCTTCTCGCCGAGTTCCAGACTGAAATTACCATCGGAAATGTTACCAAGACTGGTCGCATTTTCATCTCGATCAGCGCTGAACTCAACGTTCTAGGAATCGAGACTATAGATATGTTCGATTTGTGGTCTGTTAATCGGCAGCTTGGTTAACGTCGTTCACCATAGTCCCGATCAGTTCACCAATCAACTCAAGCAACAAATTTCCATAGGTATTCCGAAGCACGCTGGGTAGATGCACAAAAGCACAAGTGAAGCTGTACCTGAAGCCCGACGCACGTCCCGCCTATTGCCCGAAACGACCAGTAGCGTACGCTGAACTCCACCAAGGTGGACGCAGAACTTGAAAGACTCCAGAACAACGGTATCATTTCTCCAGTTCAATTGGATCGGATTGGGGCAGCACCAATAGTCGTCGTACGCAAGTCGGACAACGTATCAGTCCATGTATGTGGCGGAACTTGCTGGAGCACGTTACTTTACCCATCTCGATTTGTCTGACGCCTACCTACAGGTCGAGGTCGAGGAGGAATCGCGAAAGCTACTCACGGTCAACACGCATCGTGGGCCGTTTCAGTATAACCGGCGCTTTCCAGCGCATCATCGACAGTATGGAGTTAAGCCGTATCTGGACGACATCCTCATCGCTGGTCGCACCAAGCAGGAACACGATCGCAGTCTCTACGCTATTCTCGAGCAGATACGTGAGTATGATTTTCACCTACGCCTCGAAAAATGTCGTTTCGCACTCTCCAAGATCAAGTTTCTCGGACACATCGTGGACAAGGACGGCATTCGACCTGATACTGCAAAAACAGAAGCCTACCTCGGAGCAGTCAACTACTATGGTAGATTCGTGAAGCAAATGAAGCAACTCAGAGATCCTCTGGACAATCTCCTCAAGAAGGATGCACGCTGGAACTGGACCAAAGATTGCCGGAAATCTTTCGAGCAGTTCAAGACTATTCTACTTTTTGACCCGCTGCTTACACACTACGACCTATCTAAGGAGATCATTGTTGCAATAGATGCATCGAAGTACGGTCTTCGCGCTGTCATCATACATCGATTTCCGACCGGTGAAGTGAAGGCAATCGCTCATGCATCTCGCTCACTGACCCCAGCAGAGATGAACTGCGGACCAGTGGAGAAGGAAGCATTGGCCCTGATAGTCGCTGTCACCCGTTTCCACAAGATGCTGTATGGACGAAAATTCCTCCTGCAAACCGATCATCAACCGTTGCTCAAGGTTTTCGGCTCTAAGAAAGGTATAGCTGTTTACACAGTAAGCAGCGCTGAGCCTTCAGCCTTGGGCTGGTTCCTCTCTGGGAATCCCAGATGGGGAATCCCCTATTTGAAGGGGGGTGGGAATTCCAGAGGGAAATTACCCTAACAACTTAGTTTGGATCCCAGAGGGGATTTCCGAAAAAGGGCGTGGGGCCCCAGAAACAGAGATTTTAGCTACGGAGTTTTTAATTTGGTGGCCCTGGAAGGGAACCTCCGAAAGGGGTCCCTTAGTTGCTTAGTGACTGTCTTAGTACTGTCATTTTGTTGGAGAGTTCCGTTTTCGTTGCTTTGGTCTGTATAGTTGCTGATGTGGGTGGTTAGTTGTGAGATTCAGGTTCCGAGTGTGCTCTGGTATGGTGGTGATGATGATGATGGTGAGTTAGGTGATCAGATTAGATCGAACAGCTAAGCTTCCCGCAGGAAAGCTAGGACTGTAATTCTGGTAGGATCGTTTTTCTGATGGCAGGGGTTTCACTGGCCGCCCAATCTCGAGCCCACCCTTCGTTGGTGATTTTTGATACCCATTTGTTGAGGTCCGGACCAGGTACAATTTGCGTGTACTTGGCTATACAATCTGAGTTGGCTAGTTGGTCCGCTTTTACGTTACCATGGACCCCGCAGTGTCCAGTTATCCACACAAAGACTGTGTTGTTTGGCGCGTGTTCCTGTATAGCCTGGATCCAAGGGTGTTTGCTCGTATCGGATTCCAGTGCGGCTACCACACTAGCGGAGTCGGTGAAGATGGCTATTGATCGGTTGTCGGGAATGGTGGCTGCAATGAAGGCGGTAATGGCTTCCGCAGAGAAAATGGAACACTGATCCGGGAGTCTATGGCATTCCGCGAGGACCGAAAATCCCGATTCCTACCTTTCCCTGGGCTACCGAGTATCCTCCGTATTTCCGGTTCTGGAGTTCGAGTACCGCTTGTGCCACCGCTGAAGGATTGGCACCAGCTCTGAATTGGTGTTTGATTGTGTGGTCGGTCAGAATCTTCGGCTTGTTCCAACTCCTCGCTCCGACCCAGTAAACCTTGGATATTGGGGGGATAGTCGGGTTGGATGCTGCCCTGAGTGAATTGTTCGCCTCCGTGAGGAGGGAATCTTCCTTGTCGTCTCCTGATGTCTGCTGGTAAAGATTCAGAGAGATTGTTGATAGACCGGCGCTAACTTTTCGATCAATCGGGGCTTGGCAAGGAACGTAGCTTCGATTCCGTAGGTTAGGCGTGAGTTGATGATGGCTTTCGCCACGTTCAGTCGGGATCTTCGGTTGGCATTTGGATGCCGTCCCGCTAGAGTTTTGAGCAGGGTCATACGCTGTTTGCATCCGTTTTTGACATCGTTGAAGTGTGTGTCGAAGGTGAGATTTCGGTCAAAGCAGACCCCGGTTTTCCGAAACGGAATTATGTCTTCTTGGATGCAGACTTTGGTGCTGAGTGTGACTTGGTATTTTATCGGACAGATGTGGGTAAATCCGCTCTTAGTAGCGGATAGCTGGAAGCCGGCCGACGATACGTAGGTGATGGCCTGAATAAGCTTTCTTCGCAGTGCCTTCACCGTTTTCTTGACAGCCATTAGGACGATGTCGTCCGCGTAGACGAAGATGAAGATTCCAACTGGTAATCGCGTGAAGACATCGAGGGTAACGGCGATCACGGAACCCTGTGGTACCCCTGTTTCCTCCTCGAATGTTTTGGATAGGCAGTTTCCAAGCGTGAATTGGAAGGTACGTTTGCACAAAAAGTTCTGGATAAATTTTAGGCTGTGTCCCTTGAGTCCCCACTCCCGGCATCCACACCCGGTTGGATAGGTCGAGAGTGACCAGTTCTGCGTGAAGGTTTTTGGAAAATATATCCAGAAGGGCCTCGCTTAGGGATCCGAAGTAGGTGCTGGTCCCGTGCCCCGGTAAAAATGCGTGTTGGCGGTGGTCTAGAAGATTACCTGCTTTCAGGAATCTGAGTAGTCTCCTGTTCACCATCCTCGCCGTTATCTTCGATGCGCAGCATGTTAGGGAAATCGGCCGGTACTTGTCGACTTCGTGTCCCATAGAGTTTGGTTTAGGGATCGGGATAGTGAGACTGTGCCTCCATTGATCCGGGAAGGAATTTTGTGTCCATTCTTGATTCAGGAGTTCCAGGAATTTGGCCTGTTCTCCCATGGGAAGATTTCGAATGAGAGGGTAGCTCACCTCGTCCGGTCCGGCTGAACCTCCTCTGGCCTTCGACAAGGCGAGTGAAAACTCCTCCAAACCGAATGGTCGGTTGATCTCCGAATTATCTGCATCTTCGGGGATTTCAATGTCCCCGATCAAGTTGATGGTCGGGTGGTTTTCTCGACAAAACTCCTCGTCGTAACTGTCGATCGATGAAAGCGAAGCAAAGTAGTTGCCGATGGTGTCGACGATTTCAACCGGATCATGGGTAGCCACACCTTCATGTACAATGGTGATACCTTGAGCTTTCCTCTTTCCACTGATTACATTCGATTGGCTGGGGTTAATGTCGTCGATGAAGGATTCCCAGCTTTCTTTTTTTTTGCATCTCGAATAATGTCCCTGCATTCGTTCCTCTTCGTTCGGTAGACCACCAGATTTCTGATCCTAATGTCAAAAAGTTTTTCGCTTGACGAGATGGACTTCAAGTCGTCGACAACTGTGTTATGTTCGCCGATCGAATCGCCGTACCAACTAAGTTTCGCAAGCGGATCGTTTGTCAGTTGCATTCGCGGACACTCAGGAATGGATCGGATGAAGTCTTTGGCCCGTAGTAACATCTACTGGCCCAATGTTGACGAAGATGTGATGCTGTTTGTCCGTCAGCGCGCTGAAGCAGCGAAGTCTCCGATGAAAGCAACCCTGGAATCGTGGCCTCTCCTGGACAAGCCATGGTAACGTGTCCATATTGATTCTACTGGTCAAATGGATCAATCAAAATGCTGAGGTTTTGACATACAGAGAAACTGAAATAATTTGAAAAACTTTCTCACCGAGTGCAAATTCGAAAATTATAGATTAAGGGCTGAACTGAACTGAAGGTCTGACTGAAGCTATACAATCAGCGAGAAATCCTTTTTGGCTTAGATTCTTCCCATTTGTAATAATTTTATCTGCTAAAACATAGCTAACAGTCCTTGTTTATTAAAGCAGTTTTTGCAATTGACTTTTTAAGTCGTTTGGGTTCAAAATTTAAACAAGGTTTTCCATATTCCATCGTTGTATTCATTTAGGGATTGCCAGCCACTGGCAGAAAGTCACTATAAGGCTTTGTCCAATTTGCAGATCGGGATTCAAAATAATATTGAATTCATGTCACTAAAAAAAACATTGATTTCATTCATCGACATAATTTGGCTCGCTGCCCGAAATCGTAGTCCCGGTGTCTCAAACTACATCTGATGCCACGCAATGTAAACAAAACTCTGTCTACACGATCAATAAAAAAAGCGTCTCCTTATCATGGTCAGCAGCTGGTTTTAAATAGCTACTAGTTCTATAAATAAATTATAAATAAAACAACCACAACCACCAACATAACAACACAAACATCGGAATCTCTCTCACCTTTGAATCGGTGCGCTTTCGGTGCCGGTCGCCCTAACTAGTCTCTGCAGTGCAGCACGCCCCTGGTGGTAGGATCTCAAACCAGCAGCATTGCTAACCTATAACAGCAAAAGAGAAAAAAAAAGAAGAATGACAAATTTTAGATCTGTCACATCCATCCCACCCCACTCCACCCCCCGTGGCTTCCGATCCAGCAGCCAGATCGTCGAGATGACTCAAATTGCATCACGATATTGGGCCACATATCAAATGGAAAATCACCAAAAACGTGCCCTTTTCCATGCCCCTCGGGCACCACCATCCAGTTGCTAAAAAGTCGAGCAAACCTTCGACGAATCCGAATGCCATTTCGCAAATATTTCCTCCCGGGATTACATAATACCGAATAATGGTCGGTGGAAATTTTCACGCCCGGTATTTGCTCGGATTGTTAGCAAAGTGACTCGAAATTCTTTATTCCGGATTCTTACCTGCTGTTGGCCTCCCTCCAGCGAGCGAAGGCCGCTGATTCGCAGCGCCGTTCGCGGAAGATTTCGCGACGAGATTGACAGCAATCCGGCCATCGCGCGAGCTAAATTCGGTCGGGTTTTTCGACGGCACTCACTCGGTCACACACCGGAATCGGGTTAAATTTATATCACTAGATACAGATGGTCCTCCTCGATCAGCGACTGGAACGGGGGAAAATAATGTTGGAGATACAAAAAAATATTAGCCAGCAAAAAAACGGCAGACAGATTGTGCACACACCACACCGAGGACAATCTTTTCTTTTGCACGCACTCACTCTCACTCCCGTCGTCGTCTTGGTACACTCGTCGACTGATTTTGCGATCGTCCGTCCGGTGATGGGATTCGCCAGAAAAGAAGGCTGACGTTTGCATGCGAGCCGTCAAAGTGCGCCGCCACCGCTGCGGTTTGCGATTGGTCGGTTTTCGAACTACTGAAAGGGATAGGAACCTGCTGCTTCACGGTGAATACAACATCATCGAAAGATTGGTAAAATTTAACCTTTATCCAGCTTTCCAGGCCCTAACGGCGCCGGTGGTGTAGTGGTAAGCGTGATTACCTCTCACCCCAGAAGGCCTGGGTTCAATCCCAGTCGGCGCCGCCGGGATGTTCTGAGGCATAACATCTCTGATCACGCCTTCCTTCGGATGGGAAGTAAAGCCGTTGGTCCCCGGTTCATGAGTTGATGGGTCGATAGGTAGGGTCCAGGTGTGGGAGCTGCCTTCCTGTGGCACGTCGGTAGCATTGGTGCTCAGCACGGAAAACAAGATCGACGGAAAAAAAACAAACCAAAGGAGCTTTCCAGGCTCGCCTTAATAAAAATAACCATAAAAGAGAGCTTAACGACGTGTTCGGGGTATCATCCAAACTATTTGTGGGATATTTTACCCATCCAGGATATAGTTCGTTTATGGTATTTGTTTATTTGGGTGGTAATGGCAGCCTAGCATTTAATCACGGCTTATTCCAATGTACAGTTTTCGAACTGTGAATCACAAAAATACCATATATTCAGCTATTCTAAAAAAAAAATAACTACTGATGTTCAGTAGCTTTTGCGATAAACTACTGAATAGCACGCAGAAAAAAGACTGAGGAATAAATTAATAAAATATTTTGTTATTATTTCATTTGAAATTTCTATATTTTTTTCAGTTTACTAAAAAATTTTACATGAATGTAGAAGTTCAGTTGCGACGATCTGGAACGGGAGGATTATGACGGTTCCATGTTCGAGGTTGGATGTGTTTACAAGTCGGGACGTGAATGTGGTGGAGAAGCGACTGTTGATGAAGTTTCTGCAGAGTTGCGCAAGTTGGGAAGGGGAAGGAGAAGGGAGCGAGCATCAGGCAGCGGAATTCGAGGGAAAGACGTTCCTGGAGTATTTGAAGAAACAAAAGTTGACCTCGAATTTGATCCATTACTTTGTTGTACACAATCGCCATGGGAAATGACCACACTAGCTGCCGGGACGGGTTGGAAGGGGTGAAGTAGTTTCTGCTTAGTTTGGGTCGATACGGAAACAGCCCGTTTCTGTTTTCGATGTACGGATGCGGGGAGATTCCGCAGTGTTTCTGCCGGCTGTGCGCCGTTTTCGGAGGGATTTATTGTCTGGGTAAGCCGATCGAGAGTATTAATTTAAAGCGAGATGACTATCAAGGGGCTTGTAGAGGTTTTCCGTCAAAACAATTAAGAATAACTCGTTATCGTTTCTAGATTAAAATCTTCTTTTATTCTGCGCACTCCATCATCTCCACTCCCGTTCACTCGCCCGTCCTTTCTACCTCTCTCCCAATCCACCACACCCACATTCATTCCCCCGTTCAGCCCGATCCAAGGTTGTAGATGTTGTTCAGGTGTGCTCCATTACAGCTTGTAATTGTATGCGTTGTTAAAGGCGCGTCCCTACATCCCCCTTAAAATATCCTGATCTAATACGGCACATAACTACGGAACCACGATGGTTCCTGGCGTTGTCGTTTACTCCCACATTCATTTGCACCTTGTGTGTCACCCGGTGTGTCAACAGAACTAGTAATGCCAGAAGCACTGGCTCCTTCCGATGCGTCTGCCGTTGGTGTTCCGTCCGATGCATTGTCGCTGCCAATCCTCTTGTCGGTTCCTTCGAGGATCTTCTTCAGGTGAGCAGTATTTCTCCTGTACTCCTTCCCGGACACGGTAGATTTTATTGTTGCATCAGACCCAGTTTTTGTGAGCACAACAAATTCTTCATTGACAAAATCGGTGCTTAGCTTGTTGTTTCTCTTAAATCTTTTCATCAGCACCCGGTCTCCAACTAACACCTCACTTTCTCGTGCTTGTCTGCGGTTGTCGCTGTATTCCTTCCCTTTCTCCTTTATCATAGAATCGTGATCCCTTACCTCCTCATCGTCACAGGTAGGCGTGATGTGTGGAAGTTTAGTTCGTATTCTCCTTCCAAATAGTAGCTCTGCTGGCGAACGTCCAGTCGTAGAGTGAGAAGCAGCACGGTACATCAGAAGGAATTTCTGAAGTTCTTTGCGCCAATCCTGACCCAATTCTTGAGCGATCTTTAGACGCTTTAGTATTGTTCTATTCTGGCGTTCCACTTCTCCGTTCATTTGGGGCCAGTAAGGCACTGTATTGATTAGTAGAATACCATAGTCTTTGCAAAATTTGGAGAACGTTTCGCATTCTTCACTTAGTTGTGGTGCGTTGTCAGCAGTCAGTGTAACCGGTATTCCGTGGCGACTGAAAATCGTTATCAATTCAGCGATTGTATCCTCAGCCGTGATCGTGGCCATTTCACACACTTCGTAGTACCTACTGTAGTAATCGACTACAACCAATAGGTATTGTCCTTCTGGTAATGGTCCTAAAAAATCAATCGCTACGTCCTCCCACGGTCTAGCAGGTAGGTTTCGCCGGCTCATTGGTTCAGGAGCGTCTGGAGCTGACACGAGTAAGCACCCTCTGCAGCGTTTAACATACGAGTCAACATCGGAGTCTATCTTGGGCCACCACACCGAAGACCGAAGATGACTTTTCATCATCCGGGTGCCCGGGTGCCCTTCGTGAGCAAGGGAAAGCACTTGATCTCTCAGATTCCTAGGTACAACTATTCGATCCCCTCTCATCAGCACATTACCAACGCGACACAGTTCTCTGCCTATGATGCGGTATTCAATTGGTAGTTCAAATAAACGTCCACTGCTGAGAGCTTCACAAACTTTTGATATTTCTTCGTCCTGGCCAGACGCACGGTCCATTTCTTCCCAACGGATAGCTGCCGTTGAAGCAGCTGCGCGTCCAACTTCGTTCACGAATAGTTCTTCTGCAACATCGAAAGGCACTGGTTTCAGCGTAGATAACCTGGAAAGCGCATCTACTATGTTCTGTTCCCCTGATATATGCTTAACATTATACTGGAACCCTTGAAGTCGGAGAACCCATCTTTCTACTCGCGCACACGGTTTTGAACGAGGGGTAAAAAGGTACGTCAATGCCTTGCAATCCGTTATTAGATTAAATGGTTTCCCTAGGAGATACATTTGAAATCTTTCAACGCTCCAGACTAAAGCCAACGCCTCTTTCTCTGTCTGGCAATATCTCCTCTCCGTCTCGGTCAATGACTTGGAAGCGAAGCAGATCACACGGTTTTCTCCTTGGTTGTTCGTCTGAATAAGAGCAGCTCCCAATGCCGTAGGACTTGCGTCGGCAATCACCGATGTAGTGTCCTTGCAGTTGTAGTATCCCAAGTTTTTCTCTTTCGACATAGCTTGTTTGATGGTATCGAATGCGTGCTGTTGTTCCTGTGTCCATTGGAATTTCACCGTTTGATGCAACAATCTCCTGAGTGGTTCATCTACAGCAGCTAGGTTTGGTATGAATTTATTCAAGTAATTAGCCAAACCTAGGAAGCTCTTGACTTCGGCTACATTTTCCGGTTCACGAAAAGATAGCAGAGCTTCCACCTTGGATGGAGACGGCCGGATTCCGTTCGAACTGATTACGTGACCTAAGAACTGAAGTTCGGACACTCTAATTATACATTTCTGAAAATTCAGAACAATACCACGCTTATTAAGACGATCGAATACTATCTTTAGGCGGTTGTCATGTTCATCCATGTCCTTTCCCTCTATGTATATATCATCTAGATAGCAAACTGTTCCTTCACATCCCGACAAAATCTCGTCCATAACTTTCTGAAAAATTTCCGGAGCCGAAACCAGTCCGAAAGGAAGTCGTTTAAATCGGAAAAGGCCCTTATTTGTGATGAAAGTTGTGATATCACGAGATTCGGGTGCAAGCTCCGTTTGAAGAAATGCCTCTCGAATGTCTAGCTTGCTACGTACTTTTCCTGTTCCAATTCGAGCTAATAATTCATCCACAATCGGCATTGGGAATCGCTCTCTGACCACCGCCTCATTCACCCTTCTCAAATCCAAACACACACGAGGCTCACCGTTGGCTTTGCCCACCACTACCAAAGGCAACACCCACGTTGTTGGACCTGTTTTCACCTGAAATATTAAGAAAATGTTCCAATGATAAGTCAATCAATCAATGTAGCCTTAGAACAGTTAGGAAAGTAGTTTATTTTTTTATATGCTTTCATTATTATTTTTTTTTTATTTATTATTATTATTCGTTAGAAGAGAAAGTATACATGTTTCATTTAATTAGTATTGATCTTCACCTCAATAATATCCTGCGCAATAAGTTCATCTAATTTTTTATTAACTGCAGCCTCATATGGAATGGCAACGCGTCGTACAGGCTGGCATACAGGCTTGACAGATGGGTCCATATGTATTTGCACTTGCACGTCTTTGATTTTTCCAAAAGCAACTTCACGTTTTTCCACCTGATTAATATCAATACCAATTTTCAGAATTCCAAGATTCTTGGCTGTGGCATCTCCGAGGAGACAGCGTTGACCTTCTTCTACGACGAAAAATTTTGCCGTTACTGTTCGCGAAGCAATTGTTAGCTCAGCATCGAAGGTTCCCAAAACCCGCAGTGGTATGTCACTACCATAACCTTTGATTATCTGCTTAGATCCCTTTTGCATGTTGGTAACCTTAACCTGTTTAACTTTCGTACAGCGGCGGCAGACCTGATTCCGTGCTTTGCAAATTTCTGATGATCCAATGTGACCCTTCGTTCCACAACGATAACATGTGACGGATCTTTCACTGGGTTTCGAAAAATTGTGATTGTACGTTGTATTTCGGTTCACGGACGACATCCTGTTCTTCATACTTCGTTCCGACTTCACTTGAAAAACCTTTTCTGTTGTATCCGGAGACTTCAACGTTCCAATATCTCTAATCTGCT